TCGTCCAGACCGATGCGAAGATGAGTTCAAAAAATTGCTCAGGCAAGAACCGTAGAAAGACCCTTATTCAGCAATGGACCAAAAATGCGTATGCTGTTGATGATATCTCTCACCCACATTGTTTTCATTCTGAGTTTCCAGCACCTTTCACCGCAAGGTGTAAATATGTTAATTTACAACGGTGTAAAATGTAATGCTTACATGAACGCTTTACAGCTGGGGCCAATCTTTTGCACCAGGACGTCGTACTTAGCGTCGACGAAAATTTCTGAGGTACAATACGTGTCACACAGAGGAATAATGGAAGAAAAATCTTCAAGTTGTTCGGCCGTGCTGATTTTAATCTAAGTTAACAGATGCTCGAATTCCGCAACCGTTTCCTCTTTCGTCTTGACTTACTTTTCCAAGGCCATGAAACGCTTGGCCAATTTTCACGACGGCAGGCAATCTTATGGTTGCACTGCAAAGGTCCTTGGGCTTGTAGCAATAAACCTGATCTATTAAAGGGAACTGCTCGATTCCCAGTCTTCGCTGAATCATCAACAAATGCGAAAACTAAATTTGAACTATATGTAATGCATGATAAATGGAAATCACAAGTTCAAAAATCTTACCACCCACGGCTTGTCAGTGAAATTGTATAGACTGTGCAGAGAGTTCAGACTTGGTACTCCTCCATATAAAAGCCCCAGCAATACGGGTCGGTAATCGTGGTGGATTTCTTTGGCGGCTTCTCGGATCAATACAAAATCTGGCCTGAATACTCTGAGACGAAGGTTAGTGTTTTCCTATACTGATACAGATCTCTTTCACATTTGCTTACCTATTATTGTCGATTTCTACGGTACAGCCGTTCGGCTCGCTCTGAGATACAATCGAAATACGGCTGAATTCCGTCTATTAATAGTCAACATCATGATTTCCTTCAATGAGTTGCATGACTTACCTGTTCCACTTGAATCTCCCAGTCTCCAAGAACTTTCTTGCCTCGAAAATACTTTGACCTATTAAAGATTATATTTTTGATAGCAAATCCATGAATTAGCTACTTTATGGTTTCATCTAGGATGACCACAATAAAATCCTGTTTTGCATGCTATGTCAATATAGATATGTTTCTTATATCTATATTCCAGTAGCCTCTGTTTAGCACACTGTTCATCTGCTGTTTAATGCATTTAATAAAGTTGGCCCTGCGTCAGGCAAAAATTAACTACGTAATTAATTAAATTCAAATTAGTGAAGTGGAATAAAATGTAATTTACCATAATGATTATTCAAATGAATTAAATTTAAGATCATATTAAGGAAAAGAAACTAGTGTCTGGTGGTAACATGCCCTCACTGAGATGACTCAACGACTACCTTGCGTATTCATCCCCAATAATTAAATTTCCTTATAATTAATTTTCTCTGACCCTCCGAACTGAGGCAGGTGCTGCACCCATTTAAAAAATATTAACATGAAGCTGAAGCAGAAGGGCGTTTCATATTTTCTGCAGGTCTGACTCAGATTTAATCTTAACTGGATGGCTTTAGTTGAATTTATAAAGAAGGCAAGGCTGATGAAATCGATGGCATCCTTCCTTGGATGCTTAAAACATTAGGTGAGCAAAGTATTTTTTGGCTAGCTTCCCTCTGTGATATTGTGGTGGTCATGGGGGAAGGTACAAGTGAACTGGAGAATTAAAGGGGTTGTAGCATCGTTTTAAAACTGAGACCAATGTAACTGCTCCAATTTTTGGGACATTACCTCATTCAGCCAACCAGTAAAAGTCAACGCAACGGTGTTGAAAGGTAAGTGCCGTGGAATAGACGACTTCCAGATGGAAGAAGAGCAGGTGTTTTCAACTCAGACCAAAATACCTTTGAGCAGATCTTTGCTTTACGCTATATTGCAGAGAAATCGTTGGAGTTCGTTAATCAGTTAACATGTGCTTTGATGACCTGCAGACTGGATCCAACGCAGCAGTCCATCACCATGCCTTCGAGCATACCGGATGGATGACCAGCTGCTAAGGGTCATCGAACCACTATATTTTGATAGCAGGTGTTACGTTAAGTCGAAACCATTCAACTCGCCCTTGTCTCCGCCAAGGCTGCGACCTGTCCCCTATCCCGTTTGTG